GGAATCGAAATCCATCAAGAAAACTGCCAAAGTATAGCTAATGGTGGGGATTGGAATGAATCCATCCCTTGTGTTAAAGGCTGATATGCACAATTCTCCATCTGATTGTGTTGCCTTATGCCTCCTTTTGTCTTATCAGATCAACAAGCAATCAAGCTCTAAGTGTTCAGAAAGTCAAGCACTATATACCAGTCACTCCTAATAAAATTATATGATGCACAGATATCACAACACGCCATGACAATTGAAATGCCAATACCTTCATGGGAGCCTCCTACTTCTGCTTCCCTAAAATGAATTATTCCTTACGTGTTGGCTCAATCTGCAGCACTGCCAGCAAAGCAAATAATGAAAAAATAGCTTTTTAAATTCAGAGGAGCAGAAATTAATAGCCCGAGTTCTTGCAACTGGGAATCGTTCTACAGTGTTACATAGCCAAACCAAAAAAAAAAAAAAAAAGCTAATTTCTATTATTTAACTTCTATTTAAGCACATGTTTTACTTTAATGTACTGATGGTTACAATGTTAACTGCTACATTTTCATTTTCTTTGTGCTTTCACTGTTCAAGGGCTTTAATGTGGTAAAAATAAACTGTTTTTGTAGACCTTCCAAGACTATATAGGAACAATAAAAAAAATCTAGTTTGTTCATGCCTCTGCATATTATGAGTGAAAGTAAAGCAAAACAAGTCAACTAGTATATCTCGAAGCAAATTTACGTGACCTTGAGAGCAAAAAAAGCATCGCAAAAGTGCCCAAATACTGATACAGGTTTGTTTTTACTTTTAGCAGAAGACACCAGCAATGAAAATACCACACCCACAGCTAAATGTGTCATATCTACTTAGTAATATTAAATGCTTATTAGTGTAGTGTAAAGTGAGTGTCAGAAATTTTAATATAATTTTACAAAATACTAAAATCTGAAAGTCAGGCTGCTCTTCTCTCTCAGCTAGGCGTCTTAAGTTTACAAAAGAAGTCGGATCAAAACTAATAAAAGAACCATAAACCTTTCCAAATTCCTATTTTGTATTCGTGATGTAGCATCTGCATGCAGGGGATGTTCACCGAAATAAAAACAAGCTACAGTACCCCTGTAAAACATTTCTGAAATTTTCCGGAGCCTCAGAAAGGATGCTTGGTGACAAACAAAAAGCCTTCAAAACATGCAGAAAAGGGAAATGGGAGAAGTGGAAAGAAATAAAGGTCAGACATAAGCAAGGCATCGGTAAGGAAACGCAGCATTCCTGACAGCAGTGTAGGATGTGAAGCGTGGGCTGAGTTTGCCTGCAACCGTTTCAATGAACGTTTCAGCTGTTTCTCTTTATTTATGGTAAAGTGAAAGATGATGGGAGGACAAAAAAACAAAGGATGTTTTTCACACTTCAACAAACATTTAGCCAGAGCTGGGAATGAATGGATATTCATGTCAGAGTGGCCAAGTTAATGTCCAGATCTAAATTCAATTAAAAGGTTTTGGCCATGACGTTTAAAGTTGCTTCCCATGAAATACGGAAAGCTTTTCGAGGTATACATGGCAAAGGTATGCAGCAAAAAGTGGTTCAACAGAGTGTTGACTCGAAAGAGAAGAATACAAATTCACACTGCAGAGTCCAAGTTTTTTTCTTTTAAAATCCCGGCTCAAGATGTGTAAACAAGCTTTAGGATTGAACCGAGGATATTTCCTTAAACGTCCTTTACAATCCTGATCCAGCTACTTTTGTTTCAGGTCCACTTGTTTTCAACTTTTAAAAAACACTTGCATCTTTAGCAGGGGCACAAAGGAACATGGAGACAACTGTCTGTGGCACGATAGCAATGAGCGTACTCAAGATGGGACAAAAATAAATAAAAATGATTTCACCAAATTCTAAGACCTAATCCTGAGCAAACGATAATTGACCAAAACGACAATCCTTTTAGTGATGCCGCTCCATTAAGACAGTCACCATCAACACACGAGGTCAAACTTCCTCCGCCCATCGAACTGGGGTCTGAGTGGGACACTCAGAGTGTTGGGGCCTTTCATTACCATCCTGTCAACATGGCTGCAGCCTCATAGCATGCTCAGTGTGCCTCCTGTCACGCCTCAGCAGGGTCTTGTAACTGCAAGTCTGCCACTAGACATAAACACCCCGAGGAAGAAGCACAGAAACCCACATATTGCATGATTCACGCTACCTGCATGCATGTGTGTTGGAGAGATCTGATCTGAGGCTTTCAGGCATGTTCAGGCAAAAAAAAACAAAAAAAAACTGGGACTTAAAAAGTGAATGTTTAAAATCAACATGTGGTTAAAACACTGCTTAAAGAAGCTATTTGTCAAAACTATATGTACAATAAGCAGTCAATCCTCTGGCAGCTTATCAGAACCACAGCATGTAGATATATTCATACAGTATGTTTACACACCTGTAGCATTTATTAGTTTATGGTTCTGGATGTGCAGTTCTGGTTTCACAGCTCGTCTCAGAGAGTAGGAAAAAGATTTTAGTTCAAACGGCCTTACTAAGAAATAAAACCTTACCGCACTATAGATTCTAGACATACGTTGGACCATCTCAACTGATCACTTATAATAATGCTCAGTAATGCAGTGTCTTACAAGCACTGTAGGGGATAATTGTGAAATTTAAGGACTATTATACACGGTTCTCAAAAGTTTTTCCAGTAAAAATCTAAAGAGTACGTCAAGCTTTATGCCAAAGCAAAACCTCAAAACCTGTTTTATTTCCTATCATGTCTAAATGAACGTCAGCCTTTGTTATTGTCAAAATGGTATAAAGGGATTTGGTTGTTGCTTTTTTAACCTCAGAGCCTTTGTGTAGGTTGGCTGGTTGCAGCTGTTTAATTTCTGTGAGAAGGCCAGAGTAAACATTTGCTGGTAACTCCAGTTCACAAGCTAATCCAGTTAAGATTTAATGTTATTTATCTTGACATTCTCATTCAACCAGTTCAACTTCATTACAAACTTAGAAGAAGAAGAAAAAAAACATTTATTTAGTCTGAACGTTATATAATTATATTTTTTAAATTCTTTTCCATTTTCTCAGCAGGGTTGTAAACTTTTATGTGGCGTTTGATCTCCTGAGCTCATTTTGTGACAAATTAGTAAAGAAAAGCTAGAACAGTCAAATCCAAACATCAGTTGTACATTTTCTGTGAAAAATGAATACATTTACGAGGCTCCTGAACATTCTGACCTAAATAATTCCAAGCTTTTCTCCCCTCAAATCCCCGCTGCTGATTTTAATTATTTTCTCTTCAAATTCCAACATAAAAATGCCAATTTTATACTATGACAAGCTGTAGATGAACACAGTAGTACAAATGTTATTTACTCTGACTGACAGGTTTTTAATAAAACACCATGAACGTAATCAGTCGGGCGGCAATATTATTTTTTGGGAGTGGATAACCGCACAACTCATTTAGGGAACAAAATTGTTTCAAGATGAAACAAGAAATCAGTTTTTCCTTCATTTCTTATGAACACAAAGAAGCGAAACTCCCTTTTTAGCAATACTTAAAGTTTATATTAAGGTTTGGAAACGTTAAGGAGTTATGAGCATTGATTGCTTATTATACTCCAGTCACACTACTACCATAGATAGTGCTATCTGCTTTGCTACTCTTTGGTGTCTTAAGCAAATAATGTTTTGACGTAGATTTTGTGAATTTTGGGTACTGTAGAAAATTTAATTTTATCTATAGCTAAGCCAGGCAAATTTTTGACAGAAAAAAAAAAAAAAAAACATTCACAATCCATACTTTAATGCTCAATTTTGATTTTTTGTGAATTGTTTTGTTGTATCCGACCTTCTATGTGAAGCGCAAACAACGTAAAAGTGTCCCGCATGCGCAGTAGAGGACGCAACGACATCACACACAGTGAGCATGGCAACTAATGATTATTGATTGTGCATTGAACTTTCAGTGCAACATGGTGTGGAAATAAATAAATATGTATACAGACACAAACAAGATGTGATGTTGCAGCAAAAGTGGTCAAGATGAGGAGTAACATGATGAACGTTATCCAGTAAAGCTCTAAGCTGAGCATTAAGTCCTGCAGCTCAGGGAGCAGCGACACATGGAGTCGCCAAGGGGAACAGGTTTAGGCTGCAGAAACCTTAGAGAATAAAGAGGACAAAGGCTTATTGTTTGGCTTCCTGTTAATCATGTTATGCATTATTATGGCTGTTGATAAAGAAAGCAGCGCTTTTCCCCTTACCTCAAACATCAATGCAAAGTATTACTGCTCATTTCCTATTTCTTCCCTATTGATTTGAAGACATTTAATCTGCTGGACTGACAGCAGATGAAGGATTGCTCTTGCAAACACCAGGATCAGACGGCCGAGTGCTGAGACGCCACCAGAGAGTCCATTACTCAGCTCACATTCAAAAAAATAGGGCATGATGAGAAATGATCATTAGGAACCAGGCGGGACGAGGAAGGAGATATTGGAGAATGTGAAAAACGGATACGACTGAACAAGGGATGAGGAATAAAGCTGGTGTACATTTTCAGAAGGTCATGAAAATAGCCTCCTTGGTGATGGCTCAAGCAGCAGCATTAGATGTATTCTGCAGTGATTTATTTAGCAGCCAAAGAAAAGAAGAAATAGGAGAGCTGAAATATAAAAAAGGGTTATTGCAAAAACACCCCAATAAATTTGTAAAATCCCAATATAACACACAGATGTTTGTGATGGGATAAAAAAAATAAATAAATAAAAAATTGGAAGAATAATTCACAGCATTAATTCTTTTACAAGCATACCCGCAGAGCTGACTCTGATCTTTACTCTTGTATTTGAAATACTGACAAGGAACCAGCTGAAAATTCGACATATCATGAAAAGCTTTACATACCATGTACACGCAAAAACACGCAGGTTTGCATACTCTTCATACACACACCTGCTCTCAGACAAAACAGCCATATATATATATTCCCAGAGCTCTTAATAAACCCTCTGACTCATCTCATTCAGGCATATTCACCATGACCAGAGCTGATGTTTGCATAGGAAGCAGTATGTAAAGAGACGACCAAACCTGATGCAGCATGTTGCTCTGCACCTGCTCAGACAAAAGAAGCCTCCAGGTAGAAACCATAAAAACGCCCAGCTATTATTTAGGAAGCATTTCTGAGGTCTGCGTTTTTGTAAACGTTTTTTCAGTCCAATTGTGTCTCAGCTGCTCCATACTTTACGCCCAATAGCTAATACATGCCAAATGATTATCTTCTTTTTTTTTTTTTGTTCACTGGCTTTGCTCGAGAGTTGCAGGAAATTGATTGATAACTGAGTGACTTTTATAAACAGTCACGTATAAAAATGTGACATATTATAAAAATGATGCCAGACAATTTTTGGCTTGTTGGGAAAACAAAAAAAGACATTAAATAAGGAATGTGCATCCATGTTTAGGATCTTCAAGCATAGATCAGTGCAGCTCTCCAGGGAGAACTAATATCATGCATGACCTGCAGTTTTTGCTGACAAACCAATCTTCAATCTTTTATCTGTCTAAAGCAAAACAAGAGGGATATTTATCGGTGTGCAGATGTCAAAGCAAACCTAGCTCTGATTTGTTATTTATGGCTAAAATAAATATGTTATGATGAAGTTGAGTTGGCAGAGAACAGGTCTTAGTAGCAGTGATGCGGAGTATATTGGCACACTGCACTATGTTTGATTTCAGAAACTGTCAGGTGAATGTCGAGCCTGCCAGACGTTTAATCAATATGTGAATTTCCTCAAGTTGAGACACACGTTTCTGCTGTGAGGCCGGAACAATGATGTACTGGTCAGCATTACCCTCAGAGTAGACGTAAATTTGCCATTTGCAATTTGCCAGATTTGGCACACTGAGCCAAATCTGACTTTTATAGATTAAGAAACCTGTTACTGAAAGTCGTGTTTTCTTGTTTCAATACACAGGAGAGGAGACCACAACTTCACACAAACTGGGGACAACAACTGGAACTGAAGTAAATCTTGGATGTACCACTCTTACAGTGAAACAAGGTGGTGGCACCATCATGCTATGAGGTTTTTTTTTTTTTCCAGTGGGGACAAGGAAGCTGGTCAGAGCTTTTTGGAAGACGGATGGAGCAAAATACAAAGGAATTGTGGAATAAAACATGTTAGAGGACGCAAAAGGGTTGAGGGTCACCTCAAAGCAGGACAGCAACTCCAAACACACAGCTACAAAGGAATGGTCCGATCGATATTTGAGTATTAGAATGGCCTACTTAAAGCCCTGATTTGTATGAAAGTGATAATCGGCGGCCAGATATAAAGCAGATAAGACAAGGAATGAAGAAAAGGCAGATGGAAGTGATGTAAAACAAAAATTGGAAGATGGAAGGAGAAGGCGGTAGGACCAAAGGAGGGTAGAAAGGACAATAGTTAAAAAAAAAAAAGAAAGGAAGAAAAGAAACGGGAAACAAGGAAGGAAGAAAGGAAATACTCCAGAAAGAATACAAGAACACAAGGAAGAAAAGAAGGAATGGACAGAAAGAAGGGAGGATGAACAAAGCAAAAAAAATGAGGAAGAAAAGACAAGAGTGAAAGAAAAAAACTAGAGGAGGATACAACACTAAGACAATTAAATGAGAAAGTCGAGAAATTAAAATATTTCTATTACCATTACCTTCATTTCCCATACTTATCCACATCTGGAAAACACTGAAATCAAACTCCATACTTTTCTACTGTTATTTTTTTAAGTATTTGTGTGATGACCTTCAGTGCTTCAGACCTTTGTTTTGTGTCCATGCTTTTTACCCAATATTGTTTTTACCCTGGATGTATCTGTTTCCATTATTTAACACTTTCTGGTGCCATTAACATCAAAGCTCTTACTCAGGTGGCACCAATATTCCTTTAGAGTACCGATATGGGTTCTACATTCTGTCCTAAACTCCTCGATCCAATTTCCTTGTCATATAACCGAGAGGTTCTTGGGGAAAGCAGACAAAAGTATTTCACTGGGAGTCAATTACAGCTACATGATACGTCCTCTCACTCCATAACAAACATTGTTTTTCCACTTTCTGCTCAAGCTCAGGGAGTCCCGGAGAGATGACAAAGTACTTCAGCAGAATTGGCCCAGATCACAAAAGCATTCATTTTCAGTGACACTCATTGAGCAAACATGACATGCTCAGAAACGAGAGAAAAGGGAAGGAAACTATTGAGCGCTGCCCTCCCACTTTCTCATGCTGCACCCAAACTGTCATTTCTGTGAGAGAGAGGAGGGTTGGAAAGAAAAATGCAAAACATATTCATCCCCCCCCGCCCCCACACCACCCAATACCCACAACAAAAACGGTAAAGCATTCAGAACAAAACTTTCATGGACTTAGTTCGACACTTAGACAATTTCTGATCTGCTGTTGCTTTTTTTAAAAGATCCGTTATTGCCTTCCGAATCTTAAAACGCGTGCATACACGCGTTTGATATGACGACGCAAGATTTCTTAGGACTGTGTCAGACAACACAATTAAGACCCCGGTTTCTTGTTACCTGGGCAGAAACGGAGAACTGCTACCTGGTGTTTTCCTTTTACACTGCAGGCACCACAAAGGCGGTTCGTACACCTTGCAATTTATCACCACGGAGGCTCAAAGCGAGCTTTTGTTCCCTTCTCTGTGCTGAGCTCAGGGAATGACTCTCTGCAAGCAAACACGGGTACAGGAGCAGAAACGTGAAAGAATCAGGAGAAGATTTTTACCTGTTGTCCGTTTCTCGGTTGAATTTTTGGTTTATAAAACTAGTTTTTACCAAGAATATGTGTATTGTTGTTTTTATATTATGCGATAAAGTAGAACAGTTGAGGGGAAAAATATATTTCACATAAATAAAATGGTGGCATGCAGCCGTATCGAGCCCTCTTTTCTCTGAGGAAGCTAATAAAATCAATGGAAAGCAATTCGTTGCAGGAGGGCTTGTAATCAGAGAAAGAGTCAACAGGTAACTCTGGAAGAGCAGCACAGATCTACAGCTCAGGTGGAAGAATCTGTTCACTCAAGCACTCACTGAAGAGTGTCAACAAGAAAACCATGGTGAAAAAAAAATATTGAGCTTTAAATGCAATATGTGGTTGATGAAACACTAAAATATCATTCCGACAGGTAAACACAGTGGTGGAAGCATTATGATGTGGGGCTGCCTTTCTTCAGCAGGGGCAGGAAAGCTGGACAGAGTTGGGAGCATGGATGAGGCTAAACATATGAGAATGTCACAACCGGCAGTATGAAAACTTTGATAAAATTCAAATTTACAAGACTCTACAAACCAATTTTCTTTACATTTTTACATAAAATTGACCTGGAGTTTATATATTCTGTTGGCGAGAGTTTGGTTTCAACGATGTCCGCAAAGATCGGCCCGCAGGAAGCCTGAAGCCCAGGGAGTTTGACTTCAATGAGTTTCTTGAACAGACGGTGCCCAAAACTCATAGTTTTGGGTTGTTTTCCACCTGCCATAAATACATGGTGCAAGAATGATGAAAACACAGAAATGCGATGCAACCGACCCGCACTGCGCTCGGCCAGCCATGTGGCCTCCTGTTTACAGTTTCACCATGAATGCAGCGCAAAAGTTGGGAGAACAGCTGGTACAAGGCTCATCCAAGACTGTGTTGCTCTAAATATCCCCTGCAAGCCCCCTTCCAGAAACCTCAGCTGTTTTTTTGTTGTTGTTTTTTTTTCCAGAGAAGCTCTTTATCCTCCCATTCCTCGCAGCCCTGATTCCTGAAGGGTGATGTGATGACCAGCTTTACAGATGTGGTACAGCTGTTAAATCTCCATCAAATCCTTGTGACTAATTTGAGCAGGAAATTAGCAAGAGAAAGAACAACGATGATTATTTTTTGTCCAGCCAGCACAGTAACAAATTATGCCCAGTTGCGCAGGATGTTACAGCAAAGCCAACAAATGTCTGCCAAGAGGTTTTTCCTTTCTGTTTTGTGTTTCAATTTTTTTTTTTTTACATTTCCATTCTGTACACCAAAGCAAGCCTCCAAGTACAAAGAGGAATGTGTTTACCAGAAAAGCACATGACAGTAGTTGTCACAACCTAAAGATTTTCCTCTGTCTGTGGATGCAAGGTGGCAAAAAAGAAAACAACTTTGATCCATACAAAGAAAAACCCCAGGTGGCTCTAAGCTTTTCATTTCACCAAAAATCTGCTCTGGCCCCAATCAGTTGCAGATTGCAGAGTTTGGGTCTCTGGAAGCAGTCGGTTTGGGGCATGCACGTTTTTTTTTTTTTTTTTTTGGATGAGTTTGGAGGGGAATGAGAGAGCTGTGGACAGAAGACGCCGGGACACTTTCCGGGCAGAGCAACAAAGGCAGCAATGTTGGACCTACAGCAGTGAAAAACACATCAATGTCTGCCTCGAGGAGCCTGGCACAGCTCTACTAACATTGTCTGAAAACTGTGTACAACATTAACAAGCTAATCACTGAAAGGGGAGCTTTCATTCAGAGGCCGAGCAACCAGTTGCAAATAAAGCTGTAATTGATGGCCTTTGGACTGGACATGCATATAACATGATTAGCAGGCTAATAAATCAGTTTTAAAAAAGGGTTAAATGTGATTGCCAGGACAAGGGGAAAAACGGCCTCTTTTTCCCGTCAAATGCAAGAAAGTCTATCAGCAAATAACAATAAATCTGTCACCATTACATATTAGCCAACAGCTACCTCTCTCATACATTGAGCACACATAGCACATTCAGAAAACTCAAGAGTTTCCAAACATTTATATTTTACTATGAAGCTATTCCAAATGAAGGTATTCCACTTTTTACAATCACAGTGACTGAACAGAAGAGAATCAAAGCAGTACATGAGCACATATAGGCAAGGTTAACACACCAGGTCTTGATGTCCGATCCCAATTTTTTTTTTTTTTTTTTCTGAAATCCAATTTATTGTAGATGGCTGCTCATCCTACTGAATGATGCCATCACAATCAGAAATCGGCGTGAACAGTTTACGACCCCAAAGCAACCAGCGTGCACAGAAGAAGAACGCTGACGTCATTCAGCAGCGCACTGTTTGCAGGAGTAATAATGGACGCCAATGTGTATGGGTAGATTTTTTTTTTTATTATTCAGAAATGGGAGCCAACAATATTGCCACAAGATCATAACACAAACAAAGCTAATAAAAAGAAAGCTCAATAGAAATGGCCTTTTCTGGAGCACCGGCTGAAAATTCTGTGGAAAACTTGGAGAACCCCTGGAATACTAAGGTTTAAAGACTAAGATGTTTCTTCTGACTGGTTGTGGTATTAACAATTTGCACTAATCTATAGTCCTGACTTGAACTCGATAGGAAATCGAGGATGAGAGAAAGGAGACTGCAATGACTTAGAACTCATCACCAATGATAAATCATCAAAACAGCATGAATAAACTGAACTGGCAAAAATTGTCAAGTCAAAACGTAGGATGCTGATGGATTTCTGTCAAGTAAAACTGACTGCTGAAATGAAATCAAAATGTACTTCCTCATGGTATAAGGTTAAGGTTGGGAAAACCTATACAACCATTAACTTTAAGTTGAATTGCACAAGATAAATGTAGCATTATACGATAAGACAGCCAGTGAAGATCCTGCATACTGTGTGTATATCATTATCATAATATATGCATCAATTTAGGCTGATCAGAGCCATTACCGGGCTATTTGAAGTTTTACTCTCACCCAGCCTGCATGAGATTCAAAAATATTTTCATTGGTCTGAGAAATCTGCACTTGGAAGATTGGAAATGTGATGTTTTCGCACCAAATTATAATCCAGACTTCCTTCAACTCCTGCCCTGGCTCTCGTCAATGTCAGAAAGGAAGAGTGAAATCCACTGCATATGAACTCATCACAAACAGGCAAACAGGCAGAGACCAAATGTGAGAACGATGTGAGGCATGTGGAAGTACGCCATCAACCCAGAGAGACTTGCTTTCGGTGGGACAAAGGCGATTCACTGCTGCTGCCGGGTGGGCTGGACGGCTCCTCTGCCACAGAAACACCTCATCTTTCTTCAACATGCCCAGACAGACTGGAACACTGCGCTCATCTGCCCTTATGATAACAATGCATGTTTACACTTCAGGATCTTCTGCTTTAAACTTAACCGTGCGCATCGGATATTTGGGAGTTTCACTGCACTTTGGTGCAGGGGGCAAAAAGAAAAGCGTCGAGGGTGGGAACAGCACGGCTGATCTGCAGGGCAACCAGGGTTGTTGCATAATTAAAAGGAAATTAAAAAGACAGTTTCCCATTTTAAAGGTTTTAAAATTGTTTTTTTTACTAAGGATAGCTATATACTCTAGACCTCAGTCATACAACAGAACATTTGAATACAGTTCTGCTATTTATAAGGAATTAATATCTCCATCATTGCTTCATGTCATTGGTTTTCCA